ACTGTATCCCTAGAAACTGAAATCCGATAACACTACAAGGTTCGTCTCAACGTCCCAAACAATCTATCTGAAGACTATCGCTGGAATCCATCTCACGCGCCTGCACGCTCCACCATCGGCCACCACATGGGCCATACACAGTTGCAGTTAAGGCTATTGTGTAGCCATTGGTTTGGCTGAAAAACACATTTGTAGGTCTGGCAAAAAATTTTCAAACTGTACAATTTCTGTCCCTGTTTTTCAACTCCCTTTTTTTGCCATTTCTAGTTGGTTATAGCACCCAAAATCACAAATATCTTGATACAACATGCTCTGATACCATTTATTGTTAAAATCTAAGAGAAATCCTTATCCGGGCTCATTTTAATCAACCAAACAAATACCAATCAAGGAGGCTCCAACTCACAACTTTAACACTGGTTGCCATTAGTTTTCACACCTACAAAGGAGGAAGATGGTGGAAGCAATATCTCAAAGGGATGAAGAAAAGATGTGCAATGTATATGTATGTGTGTGTGTGTCTCTATATATATATATAGACACACACATACACACACAAAGTTGTTTTCGGGTCGAAGCATCACTAAGGTGTCGATATAAATTATCTCATCGTCCGAAATTTATTAGGTATCAAAATCCAACATATTGTGTTTGCACGTAAATAATAAAGTGTTAAATTATTCATTTCTTTAAAGAAAGATTCCGTTATTTCGTGTATTAATGTTTTTAAATTGGTTGAAGTATTAAATCGAAAAATTTTAAAAATAAAAAAAAGGACAGAGCATTGAATTGAAAAATTAGGAAATGATCGGAGGGTAAATGTCATAATTGTTTATTTTCTTAATGGAATACGTCCACGTTCAACATTAACTTTTAGTCATGAATTCATAATGAGGAAATTACACATGCACCTGCTTTTAGATTTCCATTTTCACAAATCCTATCACAAGTTTAAACTTTCAATTATCACGTTTTTATATTTAATTAATATTAATTATATAATTTTCGATCCAATTAAAATCACCCAAATCAAACCCTAAAATTCAT